AAACAGAAGCTCCTGCTTGTGACAAGCCACTTACTTAGCCAACTTACCTGGGGGTAGCATCAGTTCTAGACACTTTGTTAAATTTTCTTGCACTAGGTAGGACCTGCATTAGCCTTTGAAGTTCATGACCCCCTCAAAAAAGTCCATAGAAAACCTAAAATTATTGAAGATGCTTAAACACCACTGCTCTTTAGTGCTGTCTTTTTTTTTTTTTTCTTTTCATTAATATTTTGACGAAGTGATTGAGTTACCCTAAAGTTACCCTTCTTTTTAGAAGGGTATCCTTCTAGTCTCTTCTAAAAGTTCCTTAACTGCACCATTGCTTTCAGCGGCTAGAGGACACCAAGTTCCGCCAAACAGAAAGGCTGCACTGGAACACAACCACCCTGTGCTACCAGTGGGAGCAGAAAAGACCTTTCAACGCGTACGGACAATTGCGCTCATTAGTTTAGTCAGCCTTGCTGCTCTTTTTAAATCTTAGTATAAAAGCCTTGTGCTTTCTTAAATTTCAGTCTAAAAACTTTGTGCTCACCTCAATTGAAAAGCATTTTTAGATTCAGGGTGTGAAATTCAGAATAATTTCTTTCTGTGATGGGTATTTATTTGCAAGTCATTGCTGCTTTATGGATTTCTGCTTTCTGTATCAGACGACGACTCCCTGTTCTGCCCCCCCAGGTCAGACTACTGCAGATAACGAAGGCAGAGGAGCTTTACAGCATCTATAAGCAACACATGTTTGCGGTGATCTGCGAGCACAGGCCATTCAGACTCATTTGCTTGGTTTGGGATTAGCTGGAGCTGGGGAAAAGGGCATGATGGTGTGGCCAAATATCAGGTTGGGAGCCAGACATGGAGTTCACAAGCTTGCTTCAAGGCCAGACAGCTTTTCCTCTTGACTAAGTGGATTTTAGTTCCACGGCCTGGACTGGAAGTTCATTCCAGACTGGCACATAAATAAAAATAAGGAGGGGCTGGATATTAAAAATAATTATGAGGCCAAGTGGAGTAGGAAGAATGTGAGAATCTTTCCTCTCTCCAAAGCAGCACAGGACCAGCTGCAGTCTTGTATCTTTATGGTTCTCTCTATGCTGTGCTTTTATTGCACCAATACTGCAAATATTGTTAGATGGAGCTGGCTGCCACCAGGACCCACCCAGGAAGGACACAGTTGAAAACACCTGTCAGAATACTGATATTTTTAAACAGGGATTAGAGTTAACAACTGACCCATTTATTCTATTTACTCAGCAGCCCTCTATCTTAAGGTCCATTACAAATACCAGCCATATAGGAACGGACAGTATGTCTTATCTTTATGAATACTGGGCTAAATGCAAGGATAGCTGTACTGTGCAAGAAAACAAAAGTGAGATGGATTTCCAGAGCAAAGTTTTACTTAGCTGTTGCCATGTAAGAAAGTTTCAAATTCCAAACGAGTATCATGCTTCTCAGAGCAAACATTTTCCATAACCATGAACAGGTTATCCTGAGTTGTGAATGATAAATGTAAGGTACCTCAGGCCTCATTCTAGCACATACTGCAGTCCAGAAGAGACAAACAGCAAATTCAAGTAATCAATACTTATGAAAAATTAGGTCTATGCCGTGATAAACTGGAAGTAATGAATGCAGACCAAGTCTACAGGCACTTCCCATGGCAGGATCATACCACTCTGGTATATAACCTCACCACTTAACAGGCAGTGAAATGTCACCAGCACAGAATTTATCTTCATCCTTTTCTGCAGGCTCCCCAGATTTTTGCCACAGGAGAATCATAATTTTAGAAGTAGACAGAGGTTAACAGGAGTTAATTTGCCCTCTCCATCCAAATGTTATGAACCTGTGATGTAATGAGGACAAAAGCTCAGTCCTCTATATATTTATACCTGCCATTAGGACTAAGCACAGAGAGACACATGTTGCTCCTGCTTCCAGACGAACACACCGTGGAAATGCCCGAGAAAAATCAACAAATGACTCCAAAGACAAGTCTGAGCAAGACACTACAGCTTCTAAATTCATCACCAAATAATAGGCAAGCCCATCTTCTGCTGCCAACCTGCTTTGCAGTCTGCAAAAAAAACATTACATAATCTCTAAGGGCGGCTTGCTTTAGCAGGACAGGTCTACAGATCTTTATAGGTTTTAGCATAGCTAAAATATTCTAAGGCATTTCAACTTGAATGACTGTGGTCTCAACTTTCCCCTCGTACTGCCCGTCCTGTACTACCACTCTCTCTTTTTTAGAGATTATGTGATTATTCATTAATTCCTTATTCTTACAGCTTTCACTTGCTCTCACTCACGGAACAAAGGTAGCAACAAGACAACAAAAATCTCATTCTCTGCCTACACGTTTTATTAAGAGGGAAAGCTAATACACAAATAACATGACTTGAGCTATGAGAAGAGTTTTCTTTATTAGCAAATGCAGTGCAGCCTCTAATTTAGTGTTTAGCACAGTCACGCCAATATAACAGGAAAACTAGCTGCCCAGACCAGGATCTTTGTAACTGGCTTATACTATACTGAGAAAAAACAATCAACAAAAACCTTTCTGTTAGTCTAGCAGCTGAACACAAGTTCATAAAGAGAGTTCAATTCTATTTTTACATGGTGGATTCCATCCATCTGGAATAACAGGATTAGCAATTCCGTTTCATTATCTTTTCCAGTCAGGTGTTTTCTGCACTTATTTCTAATTAGTACAGTACATCTCTGTCTGGGTTGCAAATGTCTGCAGGAAATGTTTAAGTTCAGTTACACAAACAGCCAAATCTCTTCTTGCCTAGTTGGGGAAAGAAAGACCAACCATATTCATATATTTATCACGTTACAGTTATTTTATAAAGTTTTAAGATGTAAACCCAACAGCTCAGCCCTGCGTGCATGAAAGCACTTTTCCATTTCAGTTTAAAGCCAGCTGCATAGCGAGAGATAGACCCTCAATAACATTCATCTCCTAGATTACAAGTGGGAATATATACTCTCAATATTTTTACTACAGGATTAAACTGCTTTTCTTTTATCTAAGCCTGATTTTCTTCCCTAAACCCATTCCCTCCCCTATCAATGAAATAACCTTTTTAACTCCTTACACTATGCTTGTACTGTCCGTTACTGAGGAACTTCTCTTGCACTGAGCACTAACTGAAGTCTTCAGAAGGATCCAGTTCCTGAAAACATTTAGTGAAAGAGTCGTTCCCATCTCTACCAAGGCTGCTGCATCGCTGTGCTTCTCACTCTCTATTTCACTGAAATCTTGACACCCAAGTAAAGGATAGGAAGCAATTCCAGTCTTAATTCAGAAGCCGGTCGATTCATTCATCCTTTCACCTTTACTTGTCTTACCAAGTTCATGGTCGGTTGCGAAAAGGAGCAAAGATGAAGCTGGCCTTTTCTCATGCCATTCCCACATGCTGAGCTTACTTTCTGAAGTTAGTGCATGCTGAAGACACTGGTCACTAAAACTAGATTTAAGTTTGAAAACTAAGGAGAAAGATTCTCTATTTTAGTCGCACAAAATAAGTATTGCCCTTCCTTTAAGGATAGCACACGCCACATTTCATTCGCCTAGAACTCCCAGTTGCTTCCAAACAGCAACTCAATTTCCAAGATTAGTGAGATAAAAAAATAAAAATTAGGCAAGCTGGTGAACTAAAATGAATTATTTGTTTAGAAAATACTACTTCTTGGTATAGAATCTGTGAAGAATATTTTATTCCACACTGGAAACTTCATTAGCTAGGCTGTTGCCTAACTACTACTCTGAATATAAGCTTGAAAACTTTCTCTCTCTCTGGGAAGATTAAAACTTTACAATGGATTCATATTATTGGAATAGATTGTTTTATCTTCTCATTCATTGGCACAGACCACAGGAAAGATGCTCCAACACTGTGTCACCAATTTCTGGCATTGTGTTTTTCTAGGCTAGCAACTGTACTCAGAAGTCCAACAGTTGAATAATTATCTTTACCAGAGGAAAAAAAATGGCAAACCAATGCAAGGAGTCTACTGATACACTACATTATCATCTTCTATTGCCCCCAGTACCTGATGAAAGTTATTTTGCCTAAACCAGTTCAGTAAGCGGATGCTCTAATTAACACTAACTAGCTTGTTTTTGAACAACCTCCAACACACAAGTACAGCGTGATGCCAGGAAAGTTATATAAAGGCTGAGTCTATCTACACAGTCTCCACTGTGTGTAGACTGGAAACAACCATATATTTTCTAAGATAGTCAGAAATAAGTGGTTGCTGTGACTACAGCAAAATATTAATAAAACGCTGATCTATTTTACAGGTGGAGCCTACCCCATATCTGGGAACATAAGAACTGCCTCTCGATCCGCAAGCACCACCTGGAACATTTCAGTTTCGCAGAAGCCCTACCACATTCCTTTGCACTAGGAAACTACTATCATCTATGCTTTGCACATGGGGAAACTGAGGTATGACAAGGTTAGCGGTCTATTTTTTCTGGAGGGGTGTCAGACACCTATGGCAATCATTGATTTTAGCAGGATTTGCAGGAAGCCCTGCAGGTCCAAAAACAAGCCTAGAAGGAACTTTGTACAAAGGCCTTGAATGAACTGGCACTGTCTCACCACGCAGCGTTCTGGTCAGCCCCTGACACTACTCATTTACATTCATATCATTTACGAGCTAACGCTGCGCTTCAACACAGAGGACACATTTCCAAACAAAGCATTTTCAGATTTTATTTCCCTTGTTTTTTAACCCCTTTCCCCACAAGCCCTGCTTTAGCTGTGGCCTGTACCCTGCACTCTAGCGGGTGTCTCTGTCCTCAGAGCAACCAGGACAACACAGATACCAAGACTCACTGTGCTCCCTCATCCCTTCACAACAGCAAAGGGCGGGGGGGGAACTGCTGACAAGCAACCTCTGGAAGGGAGGAGGCAGCCCTAAGACTAAAGCACTGTTTCCGACTCCCAATTCCTGCTAGCAGGGATTAATTAATAGCCACTAACCTCTTCAAGTGCACAGGAGAAACATGATCCCGTTTAATTCCCATCCACTCCCCGCAGCTCCTTCTTACCCAAGGACGAGCAGCTGGAGCATATCAGCGCCTGCTCTCCCTGCTGCTGCTGCTGCTATCAGTGCAGCAACACCCCCCGGGCCAGGAATCCAATAAGGACACACAGGGGCGGGCTGTAGCCAGCAGCAGAAAGGCTGGTACGGGCACCCACGCTCCCGTAGGAGCCCCCGAGCAAGGAGCACTGCAGAGCGGGGCAAGGTCCTCGTGAGCCTCCGCCCTGCCCCAGCAGCAGGGCTGGTCTCAGGCAAGATGAACCCAGCTGTACCGCCGAGGTGGCTGCACCAGCGTCCTATGCGCCCGCGGGGCTGCGCCTGCAGGCTCCCAGGGGAGCCGGGCGGCCAGCGCCACCCGGGTTACACGGGCTCCCTTACTCAAGATCACATCTGCCTTGACCCACAACGCCACCCTCAGGCCCTGGCTTTTCCTTAGATAGACCCCCTTCCACTAGCCTCCTCGTGCATGTTCACGTCTTATTCACATGTGTCAGGTTCGTTCAGGGCCGGGAAGATAAAATACTGCAAGGCTGGGGCTGTTTTCCCCGTGGTTTGTAGTTCCAGCTGTGAACAGTGTGGATCTAACACGCCATGCTATGCTGTGCCAATTTTGGGCACTTGGCAGCCTACTAGAGCATCCCAAACTGCATCCTGTATTGGGTTACAGTATAGGTAAATCAAATCAAATTCTGCCCTGGTTCATTTCAAATGTAACAGAAATAACTGCTGAAATTGTTTTTTTGATTTTTTTTTTTTTTGAGACAAGTGTATTCAGCTCGGTGTGTTTCTGGCAAACCTTGGTGCTTGGTAAGTGTAAGTAGTAATGGTATAAATAGTAATGTCTTCCTCCCATAAGACTCAGAAAAATCAACCCAACTCTGGATTCCTTAAACTCTGTATTCTGAAATTCTGCAGGATAGGATCATAAGGACATAGGATACACCCTTCCTTTCATCTTTTCCCATTCATTTATTCTGATTAGTAAATCCCCTGGCTCTTCTGCAGCCACGTTTTCTGAGACAGAGCTGTACCCTGGGTAAAACTCCCATGGACTCGAACGGCTTGCTTAAATCAGCACAGCTTTTATACCGACACTAATGCCCTGATGTTTTAAGTGTGTTGCAAGAGGTTTCCAAATTCTCTCCTCCCTCTTTTACTGAATAGCGAGGCAGCTGAAGGGCTGATCCTCAGAGCAGCAGCTCTAATTAACGTGGTTGCACAAGGGCAGAAATGAGGAGCTCCAGAGGATGACGAAGGAATTACAGACTGGCTGAACCAGTAAAAATCTGCAAGTGCAGTAAAGAATGAAGGCCTGTAGCATATATGCATGCTGTTACATAAAGGCGGGCTTGCAGACCAGGAGATAGAGCGTTTAAAGATACACGAGTTCAACATATGGGATTGCTAATGCCTAGCAGATGCCCATATGTTCAGCATAAAGGAATGAATCAATTAGCACGTGATAGGAAGCCATAATATGAAATAATGCATACGGGATTGATCGGAAGCAGCTGTAGCTCCAAGCTTTTGGATTTAGCAACAGTGCTAACACTGGTACAGCCACGTGCTGAAGAGGATCCTGGACCTGCCTGATCTCATAATTAACTTAGAAAAAATACACGACTTTCTACATTTCCAGATGCATCAGCACCCAAAGAAAGGGTGGGAGCAACATGCAGCTGAACAGGAGAGCAGAACTGCCTCTCTCCAGCACAAACACACAGTAGATTTAGCTTAGGTTAAACTGATTGGGTAACTACACGTTTTGGTACTACTACGTTCTGCCTGATCCCCAATATACAGCTCTCAGTGTGCATGTAGTACTGCTGATATATAGATGCCTTTAAGAGTCTGCCCCTCTTTCCATATAGAAATAACATAGAGAGCAACTATAAATAGTGAGTAGCCTTCAAAACCAATAAAACTTGCCCCAGAATTGGATGGGTTCTGTAGAGCTTTCAGCATTGCTAGTAACAAGGATAAGGCTTGAAGGGATAAACAGAGTTGGGAACTGCAGACAAACTTTTGGCACACAATCCTTCTTTGGGTCTGAAATGTATTTCACTTGGAAATCTGTTTTATATAAGTTGAAAACCAACCATCTTTCAGAGAGACTAGCTATATGTGTAAGAGTTAGACCACCTCTGAAGGTAAAGAAAGGATGTTAGTAGTGAGGGAGGAGGATGGAAAGAGGTTACAAAAACAACATATAATTTTGTATACAAAATCAGCCTCTCAATGGGGCTTAACTGCATGAGCATAGGAAGAGCTCCTGTTAGGATTAGCTGCCTCTAGTTCCTTCTAGTTGTGCTGTATTTCTCCTTGTCTATTCTTTGTCATCTTTTCACATCTTTTTGTCTGGCTCATGTCGTGGACATGTCATTTTATGCCCTGTTTCTCCCTACTCTCACCTTCTCCAGTCTCCACAGGCCTTTTAAACCCTAACAAGTATCAGATGTAGGCTATAACCTAGCAATCTCCCACTTTTCCATTTCATTAGTAACAAAAAAGCAATGCAAACTAACATGATCACTCCAAAGATGGCAACTGCTGGAAGCTTTTCAAGGGAGAAAACAGTTGTGTTTGAGAGAACTCAATAAAGCTTATTGTGTTCATTGTGTTTTAGTATTGCACTAAAACACAATAGCACAAACAGTGGTAGCAATCACAAGCCAAAAGCGTAAATGAGCTAGTTGAATAATAAAACAAATTGGCCTCACAAAAAGTACTGAGAAGTGTTTGATTATTGAGAGGTTATTTAACTTCTCTCAGACAGGAAGTTCATACAATAAATATAATGTATAAGGTAGTAAGAAATAGTGGCAGAGCACACTGAAACTGCAACAGCCATCCTATAATTTCAGAAGAATCACCGTGAGCGGGTACTTAGGATCCTGTAATCTAGTGATGTTCACATACACAGTACCAAGTGCCAAAGCCTAAATGCTGATCTCAGTTACAGCCCTAGAAAGCCTCCTAATAAACTCCCAACAGCAACACGAGGTTATGTGGTTCAGTGATGGGGGACAAACCCATCAGGTGAAAAGATAAGCAGAAGGGAGCAGTAATTAAATTGAACATGCCTATCTGCTTATGGAATCAAATCCTCAGATAGGATCTAAAGGTCAAACCCAAATCTTTCCCCACCAGTGAAGAGATACTTGCAGAGGCTACTTTATTTCACTAATTTAATAATATGGGTGGCTTTAATGAAAAAATAGTAAAGTAGCACAATAGAGGAGAAGGTGGGAAGTCTGTGTCCTGAATTATGGTTTCTGCATGTGCAGATATGTGGAAACCCACACTTTGCCCTGAAAGCTGGCCTAAAAATTGCACCTGTCTCCACGCAGCCTTGCAGGGCTCTCTCTGCCGTTAACTCTCTTTGCCAGAAAATATCATATACCCTGCTGCCCGCAGGGGGCACAAGGCACTCGAGAAAAAGCAAATAAACCTGAACATAACAGCGCCCGAACCAGATACTCGCAAGCAGCGCAATCGCCGCACAACATCGCCGCTTTCGACGTGGAAGGACGCGGCGCCGCCAGCGCCCGCTGGCGGCCCCG